AAGAAAAAAAAAATTTGCAAGTTTGCAAGTAGAATGAAAATTTAAAAGCTGTTAAAGGGGAAAATCAACTGAATGCTGCTTCAAATATCAAATACTGCAGACATTACTTATGAAATTGTTGGGTGTAGTTTGACATGACATTCTAGCTGAAAGCTGTTAAAACCCAACAGATACGCCGTCCACATTAGTAACTGAATGCTGTTAAAATGGTAGCGTCAACAAATTGTGCTCCCTTCAACATAAATATGAAGAAATTAGATATCTAGAATGAAGAAAAATACCTACTAGTGATGCAATTTTGCGTGAGTTTGTCCAAGTTAATGATCAAAATGAACTTGAAATGTTGATATAGTATTAGATAGCATAGGCAAAAGCTAAAGCAAATTGTTACTATCAATTCAAAAACAGATTGTTTCCTCAAATAGCAAACTTGCATATCAGATATAAATTTTACAAGCAACCAAGAAAGGAAAGAGTCACACTTTCATGCTCTCACTATATTTAAGCAACAACTTTTAATTCACCCAATAAAATTTTCACACAGTAACCCATTCTTACTACCTGTGATTCACTATCAGAAGAGAAACAAACATACCAAAAGTATCATTTCCAGCAGCAGTGCTAATTAATGAGTTTTTATTCCAAATTCACAATTCTACATATAACGATATTATTTTATCTCCAAGAGTCAATTTTCAGCATGAGTAAGAATCCGATCTATTTAGAAAGCATAGGCAGCAACAGAACCAAAAAAAATGTCTTAATAGATTTAGAAAGTTGAAAAATTAAAAACTTGCGATGTTGGTACTTTTACCTTGTTAGTTCTTCTTATTCTTCTTCTTTTTCTCTTTCTTTGAAAGGTGAACCTACATTTAATAAGAACACATATTTTAATTAATAAGGTCTTGTATTGTCAAAAGGGCTTTGATTAAATGATTGCTCATCTCCTGAGATGAAAATATATGAGATTGTTGTTGATGTGGCATTGGCCGAACAGTGGGATAACTACTAAGTGAATCCACAACCTATCATTCAACAAGAGGCTTAAGTTGTATAGTAGCTCTAGGCAATTTAAAGTAATAACTAGTAAAAATAGTTAAAATACTTGCTGCCTAAGTAATGGGTTTGAGGGTGCAATATAAATCATATTAAAAGTCCAATAAAGTAGTATCACATACCATAACCTCATTAACTGAATCACTATTTGGCATCCCATCTTTCATATATGCGGCCATCCACACCTGTAGCAGGAACCCCATGGTTCTTTTTTCTCTCCTATAAATTCAAAAAAGAACAAAAGCATCTCTCAAATCTCTAACCTTTCTTCTCATATACAAAATCTTCCTAAAGTCCTTCATGACCTAATTCTTTTCCATTATATACCAAAAGCAATACTTCATTTTTATTATAAACAATTTAAATAAATAAACAATTCCCCAGCATTTCACAAATCTCTAACCTTTCTTTTAACTAAAATCAAGGCCCTTTATAAGTGCATTTCAATTTTTTTTATCAGCAGTGCATTTACTGTTTTAAGACAGACAAAACAAAAATATTAGAGTGAAATCAAATTACTAGGGTCAGCAACATATCTCACAACATGAATCAAGCTTTGCCATTCAAGCCACTTGAATTTACTGTTCCACATTTCTCACAAGATATGTCAAACACTGAAAGAACAAATAATTACCATTAATTTTATTATTATTATTATTTTATTTTTTTTTAGTTGCAGGAAGGTAATTCCCATCCTGCATTATGCTCAGGCATTAAAACCTCTCATTAGACATACTTTTTGCAGAAATAAGATAGCTACAGTTAAAAAATAATATTCATAGTATAACGAGAATTGCAAGATCCACAACCATTGCAGCATATATGTTTCCCTTGCATAACGGCAGAGTTATTCACCCTCTAGCTGAGAAAATAAATAGACTTTCTTCCACTCGAAAAGTAAAAGGCGAGCTGAAGTACAATTACAAGGACAAATAAATGTGTACAAAACATGAAAAGAACTAGTATTAGGATTTAGGACTAAAATCATAATGGAGGAGGCTGAAGCACTGATTTGACATAAACTCCAATGCCTCACTTCAAAATGCAGTAGCTAAGGCAGCAGATAAGAGGGCTATGGCCTAGAACAAAGAAGGCATGCACAGGAAAAAGAAAATTTCTACACAACAATTGTGTGAGAAATGATAAAACTATTCCAAACGCTCTGTTTTTTCCATAGTTTTATGCTTTACTCATTTTGATGGTTTTTATGCATGAAAAAGACATCAACCACTGGAAGGAAACAGAACAAATCTACTACAAACATCATGGGCTATGTTGGGTCTTATCTATGGTGGACAGGTTAGTATCAATTTCAAAAGTTATATCATGAAGCATATAAGTTAGTTAACATACCTATATACAATTGTCTTATATTAAATTTGATAATTTGAAGCTAAGCTTCTATCCAAATTCTCTTTCGCAGCTAAAAGTTCTGATTTTCTCATCTCTGCTGCAACTATCTCAGAACTATTCAAATATCTATTGTTTCTCTTATTCTCTTTCTCTGGGGATTTGTTGCCTACTTCTGTGGTGAGTTCAAACATAGCAAGCAGCAGCAGCAGAAGAGTGAAGATAACTTTCCAGCATCATGTATAAAGCTATTTTATATATTTGAAACTTGAACCAATATTTGATGAACAATTCCAACTGAATTCCGCTTTTATGGACAAGGTCTTTCTTGTTGTATCACAAATTTTTTTTTTCTTCTTCTTTTTTTTTTTTTTCCGAGTGTCCATATATAGCAAAGCCAATCAAGCAGTTTTCAGATCACAAACAAAATTAATTACGAGAGAAGAAAAATACAAGTGTTTTTTATAGACACTAAATATTGTTCACATTCTGGAAATCCCAGGGAAAAATAGTAGATCTAAAAATGAATGAAGATGCTTTCCTAAGAATCATAGATACCAAGGTGAACTCTTCACTTCCACTAAACCAAACACAATGTAAGAACATTGGACACTAGAAATAATTCTCTAATAATTTTTTCTTAGTTTTCTCAGCAACCAAACAAAAGACCAAAAGCATAATCCAGATCCGATAGTGCAAAGCAACACATCAAAGAAAACTTTACAATGCACAGATCTCAAAATCAAGCCAAAAAAAAAAATTAAAACAATTAAATCAAAAAAAAAAAACAATTTCACATTGCGAACATATACAACTCATCGAACACTGAAACAGAGCAATATTGTCACATTACAGAATCGATAGTCATATATATATGTATATATATAGAGAGAGAGAGAGAAGGGGGGTATAGATCTAAACGTTTCTATGTTCTCTTCAACTGCCTTATCTCAATGCTTTGATCTCCGCATTCATTTCCCCCAATTCTCGATCCTTATTTGCACAAATAAAAATCAGCAACCAAATAGATGATGGTGCTCGCTCTCCTCGCCGATGCAGATGGTGGTGACAGTGGACCTTCGAAATCGAGAGAGAGAGAGAGAGAGAGAGAGAGAGAGAGAGAGATAGAGACAGAACTTCGAAATTAAAATCGAAATCATTTTAAGATTGGATCTGAGATGAATCACCGAGCTGAAGAAGGTTGATTCGATCGGTTGAGAGAGATTAGGGTTTAGAGGAGAGAGAGAGAGAGAGAGAGAGAGAGAGTGAGAGTGGGAGAGTGGGAGAGTTTAGACATTTGAAGGCGTTTTTAATCGCATGTTAATTAGAAAATGTGATTAAAAATATATATATAATTAAAAACAATATATATATATATATAATCACACTTAATTGAAAAGTGATCAAATAAAGTGTGATTAAAATATCAATCTAATTTTTTTTTATCACATTTCCAATAAAAGTAAGATATTTTTATTTGTCAAAGTGTGATTTTTAACTGTTTTTGTAGTAGTGTCGGGTTATGGTAAGAAACTGAAGGCAACCAAGGACAAGTCAGGTTTGGTTATGGTAAGATACTGAAGGGCACCTACAATGCTTTTATAAAGAGATGGTTAGGAAAAAGGAAGGGCATCAGATGAGGAAACAGAAGGCTTCATGGACATAGGAGTGGAACAAGGCTTACAAAGCATACTTATGATGGGAACGAAAATACCCTGTGGAGTCTTTTATAATAGAAATGCCCAAAAAAATAAGAAATGGTACCCAGCTCTTTCATGGAAAAAACTGAATGCATTTGATGAAGAAGATGAGCAATGAAAGTAGAATCGCTACCAGTTAAAAGAATGTTATCTACATAGATGAGAAGCACAGTGAGACTGGAAGAAGTCTTGTGAATAAAAAGAGAAGTATCTGAGGAATTATTAGTAAAACCTTGAGAAAGCAAAAATGATGAAAAAGTGGAGTACCAAGCTCTTAGAGCTTGTTTAAGGGCATAAAGTGCCTTTTTGAGTCTTCAGACATGAGCAAGACATGTGGAATCAACAAACCCCTGAGGCTAGACCATGTACACCTCCTCCTCAAGTTTGCCATGAAGAAAGACATTTGAGATATCTAACTAGGGGTGCAATTTGGACGGGTTCGATCGGGTTGGAAGGTTGTCCAAGCCCAACCCAAGTTGTGCTGAGACCTGCCCAGACCTGAATTGTAATTCAAGGTTTCCTGCCCAAGCCCGACCCAAGTTAAACCCGAGCTGCCCGAATTGTCCGAATTGTAAATGAATTTTATTTTTTTTTAAGCTACATTATTTAATTATTAAAATTTGACTTTATTTATATTTTTTTTTAAATAGAAAATCATTAATACCATCAAAACAAATAATTTATATAATGTAAAAGAGATGCCGCTATAGTAGTTTTTATAATTTATGAGTGAAAATTAAAAAAAAAAGAAAGTAAGATTTTATGTTATTTGTATATATAATAAATATTCAATATGGTTTAATAATCCAAATTACTTTAATATCATGTAACGACTAATAATTTATATGTATATTTAATATTTTTATATATCTATATATTTATAATTCAGGCTTCGGGTTGCTCGGGTTGTTTGACGTTTTTGCCCAAACCCGTCCAAATTTAATTCAGGCTTCTGAATTTTTGCCCAAGCCCGTACCAAATTTGAAAATATCTTGTCCAATCCATAAAAAAATTCAGGCTGAGCTCGGGTTGCTCAGGTTAAGCCCGCCCAAGTTGCACCCCTATAGCTAACTATTTGATAGACCAATTATAATGAAGAGCCAAATAGAGAAAAATCCTAATTGTGGGTTGTTTAGCCACTGGGCTAAATGTTTCTTGAAAATCAATAACTTCATGCTGCAAATACCCCTTAGCAACCAACCTGGCTTTATGTTTGGCAATTCTACCATCTAAGTTCTTCTTAATACGAAAGACCCACTTACAGCCAATAGCCAATTTAGAAGAGAAATGAGGGACCAAAGTCTAAGTACCTTAAGCTTGAAGAGCTTTAAATTCATCTGTCATGGCAGCAACCCAAACAGGAGACTGAAGAGCTTCTTTGACAGTAGTTGGCTCAGTATGAAGCAATTTATTAGAAAGATTAATGGTGGAAACCTAAAGACAAACAAAATTTCTGGCTTTGGACTTGGTAATCATGGAATGAGAGTTAAGTGTAGAGAGAAAAGGAGTGGTGCGAGGTGTTGGAGGTGGATTAGACTAAAAAGGGAGATCAATAGTAATGGAGGTAATATGAATGGAATAAGGTGGAGGAGAGACAAATTCAGGAAGAGAGGAAGGCAATAAGGAAGATGATGGCACAGATACAGAAGAACCAGGAGAAGAAGGAGGAGAAGCTGATGACCAAAAGAAAAAGCTAAGAGATGGTGAAGGTGAAGAGATGACAGGAGCAGATGAAGTGTTGGAAAAAGGAAAGCATGTTTCATTAAACAGGACATGCCAAGACACATAGACTTTACTAGTGTGTGGATCTAAACATCTATAGCCTTTGATGGTAGGATAATAACCAATGAATACACAAGAGAGAGAGAGAGAGAGAGAGAGAGAGAGAGTTAGGTTGGAGTTTATGAGAAGTATAAGGCTGAAGCCATGGGAAACACTGACATCCAAAGACCTTAAAATAGGAAAAATCACAGGACTTGTTAAACAGAGTTTCAAATGAAGACTTATGGGCAAGAACTGAACTAGGCACTTTATCGATGAGAAAAACATCAGTGGCAATGGCAGCAAACCAATATTTCATTGGTAAAGAAGAATGATGTAAAAGGGCAATAGCTGTCTCAGTTACATGCCTATGTTTTCTTTTACCTATGCCATTTTGAGCTTGAGTATAAGGACAACTAGTTTGATGGATAATGCCCTGAGATGTTAGTAAAGAGTCCATTCATTTGTTGACAAACTCTGTCATATTATCTGTTCCTAAGATTTTAAGAGATGTATGTAATCGATTTTCAGCATAAGCCTTAAAATCAAGAAATTTGAAGTAAACCTCATTTTTATAAAGCAAAGGATAGACCCAAGTAAATCTAGAAAAATCATCAATGAACAGTACATAAGATCTTATTTGTGAATTGTCAGAAGCAAATGGTCCTCATACATCACTATGCACTAGTGCAAAAGGAGAGTTAACAGTGGAAATGAACAACGTAAAAGGTAGTCTGTGCATTTTAGAAACATTACAATCAATGCAAGACAAGGTTTTATTCAAAACAAGTGAAGAAGTCAGCTGTGAAGCTAAGTGCTGAAACTTTTCATGAGAGATATGTCTTAGTCTTTGATGCCATATCAATTCAGAGTTAGAAGCAGTTGTGCAGGTTTTATGAGCTTGAGGAAAAAATGTAGATGAAGGACAATTAAACTGATATAGTCCATTGACGTTAGTCCCTCTATGTAGGACCTTGTTCATGGACTTTTCATGTATGAAAAAAGAATTAGCATCAAACACAATGACACAGTTATGATCCTTTGCTAATTGCTGAACAGATAGGAGATTAGAAGTGATAGCATGAAGATGGAGGAGAATATTGAGTTGAAAAGAGAAAGTAAAAGTAAGTAATAATCATTTACCAACATGTGAAATAGGTAAGGAAGAGCCATTCCCAACAGTGACATGATCTTGGCTAGGATAAGGATGATGGAAAAAGAGATTGTTCAGATCATTAGTCATATGAGAAGTAGCTATAGAGTCTATATACCAAGGTGTATTTGTTTCCTGTGATGAAGAAGGAAAAACAGAGTTTGGAGGAATTGCTGCAATGTAGGCCCTTGTAGATGGCTGAGTCTGAAACTGTGGTGATTGAGAAGAAGAAATCATAGGTTTGTAGTGAGGATCCATGCGACACTAGCAATCAAAAGCTGTATGACTAAGTCCTCCGCAGATCTGACAACCATTGGATGATGATTGTTGATATGAGGATTGATACATGCCTCGACCTCTGTGATTGTATCTCTCTCTCTGACTCATATATCTACCTCATCTACCTCTGTAAGAATTTTGGCCTCTAGATTATGATGAAACACCTCTATAGGAACCAGGCTGAGAAGAAGATGACTGAGTTTCAAAACCAGAAGATCCAGATGATCCTTTGGTGGCTGCATAGGCCATAGTTAAATCATGATTATGCTTGATCTTGTTCTCGACATGAATTGATTTGAGCAAAGGAAAGCACATAGTTCCTCCATAGAGATCACATCTGATCTAGAACAAATGGCAGTTTTGAAGGCATCATATTCTTCAGGAAGTCCATTTAGTGTTAACAAGATCAAATCCTCATCTTCTATTCATGAAGAAGCCAAAGCTAGCTGATGTAAAATATCTTCAATTTGAGAAAGATATTCTTCCATGGATAAAGATTTCTTTGATATTGTTTGAAGTTTGATCTTCAATTGATGAATATGCGATTGAGATAGAGATGTAAACTTCTTTTTTAATACTGTCCAGACCTCTAAGCTATGCTGAAGATGTAAAATCGAAGAATAAATTGAAGGAGACAAAGTTGCAGTGAGACAACTTAGAAGATGTGCATCAATTTTCTGCCATTTGATGAAGTCTGGATTAGAGACTGTATTTCCAGTGGAATTGATGATTTCTGATGGAGAACATGGATTTGTACCAATTATGAACCCTAAGAGATTAGTAGCTTGCAACACATTTTGCACCTGACTTTTCCATATCAAAAAATTACTTGAATCTAACTTGACTGCGACTAGAGAAGTGAAATTAGAAATGAGAAGACTCAAGTTTGATGGAAGACAAGAAGATGATTGATCGGCAATTGATGAATGCTCGTGAGAGCTCTGGAAGCTCTGATACCATGAAGAAACAGATAAATTGAGATTGCTTTATTCAAGAAGATGCATTGTTTACTTTTACAACAATATGTAACTAACTCTCTAATTCTAACAGACTAACAAACCTAACCAACTCCAGTTAGTGAGTTACTAACTTTACAAGTCTGTGAGATATTATGCATGACAGTCAAGCACATGGGATGAACTGCCTTGGATGCTTTGCATTGCTCTGCTCGAGGAGACTACAGCTGCACTAGAGGAGTGAGTCTAGCCCTGTGTTGATACTGAGTCGGTGTTGTCTGCTGCTGCAGCTGCTGAGGCTGCTGCTGAGATTGATCTAATGGTTTAGACTCAGACTTAGCTATATGCAGCTCAATCTTGATTGATATCTTATCAGGGTTCGTCTTGTGAGGAATGTTGTTCATAGGTAATGATGTTACGGAAGAATGTTTATGTCGAATCAGAGAGAACTTTTGTATTTTAAAATGACAATGTTCAAAGCATATATCAAATATGCAGAGGCTAGGCTCCTCTTTAACCTCGAACTTGACACCTGTGTCCACAAGCTCTATCACACACAAGATTTTAGAGCAAGTCATTCTCTGATTCTTGTTTTGGCAATCACTTGACTCATCTTTGGAGGAGGAGAGAAGACAAATATTACGCATCAAGTCAAGGAAATGCTCGCTTTGAGATGCACTTTCATAATCGATTCTGGAAATGTCAATCATTCTTTTTAACTTTTTATTGAAAGGCAACAAAGCCAGCTTCTTGGGAGTGAGGGTGAGGGTGAGGGTGAGGGTGCAGGTGGAGGTAGGATCAGGATGATTTTGGTTTGGATTTTGGGTCATTGTCACGTCATAGCTTATGTAATAAAATTCAGATATAAAAAAGAATGGAAGTTGGGTTTCAAGGAGTATCAAATCATTGCATATTTGTTTTCTCATCCATGATACTTTGACTTCATCACCCACATCTTGTGGTTTATGTCTAACCTCAAACATACCAAGAGCAAACTTGGTAACAAAGCAAGCATCATATAGCATCATTTTCACGAATTCATCACTATTGAGGTGGTCAACTGGGTTTGCATAATACTTGCGAGCTCATTTTTCTATCTTCTTCATGCAATCTAAGTAAGGCTCCACACTCAGGTTATTGTTATGTTGAAGGAGCGATTCCAAATAACGCTCTTTACGTTTTTGCATAGCAAGTAGTTTGGGTTGACCATGGTGATAAGGCCCTATGGAAACTAGCTTAGGTGTGTATGCCTTTTCATTTGCATGACGCGGTCCTTCATGCACCCTAAGGATACAAGTTGCTTCATTGGCCAAAGCTTCTCTTTCTTTCTTCAATGTAGATGATATGTTCTTCCATATTATTATCTGATAAATTTGAAGGAAAACATGATATCACCGACCTAAAACATTTATTTATTTATTTATTATTATTATTTTGCATATGTAGAAGCAAACATTTTGTTTCATCTTAGTGATTTCCGTACATCATACAAATGTATACAAAAATTTAATACATGCAGACATTTATATTTATTAATTAGAAGTTAAAAAAAAAACTATTTTTATCACTAATAATTTACATGAAAATATCATTATCACATCATTTTGTATAAGTGTTTTTTTATAAAAAAAAAGAGTGTGTTTTAGCATTTGTCACATAATTAAAAAGATAATAAAGTAGAAATGTTATATGCTTCCAATCCAATGAGGGGTGGTATTTAAATCTAATCTCATAAGATTAGAAGTGAAAAGGCTGCTTTGTCCATCACTTTATAAAAATAACAAAATCACCTTCCATGTAACAAGAGTAATAACATAATTCATAAATTTAATTCTAACTACCTAATGAAGAATTATACTACACAAACAAAAACAATTTTTCTCATATCTCCAACCTAATAGTATCATAGTAATCTCCTTCACTCAATCCACTCATAATAATCGCTTCACCCAAACAATGGAGCCTTTAAAAGTGAAAATGGGGCAAAGTGTTATTTACGCTATATTCTACTACTCTTTTCAAGTACACAACTTTGTCTTGAGATTATAGCCAGAATATACAGGGAATGTTGGGGCAATCGGAGAGAGAGAGAGTTCATACCGTCGCCGGTTACGGTCCTCCCTTGGCCGTTGACCATGAAGCTAGGGCTTGTACCCAAGGGTTCAGATGAGAGAGGGGTTTGGGCCGTTTTCCTTATGTAATTCCTCAATCTCCGTTCGCCATCGACAAGTCTATTTTTCTCTTTCTGTGTCGCTTTGCGTTGCTCTTCAACTCCTTTTCGTATTGGGGGTTTGCCTTCTATTTGGTGTCGCTATTGCTTAATTAATTGATTTTCATTGTTTATTTAAACTCATTTTGTGACTATAGCGAGATTTCACACGCATACAAAAAAAACAAAAAAACAAAAAACAAAACAAAAAAATAGCCAATCAACAATGACATCGTTAGGTGGGAATAAAATAATTTGTGCATCTACGTCAAACTCTCTAGGAAGTAGATTGAAAAAAAACAAATATTATAACTAAATCACTTTTAATAATTAAGAAGAAATATGTAATCAATCATAATCAAGCCTTTGTTCAGGTATAATCAGAAATATTTTCGATATAATCAGAAATATTTTCGATAATAATAAAAATGAATCGTAACCAACACAAAAATAAATCATTTGAGACATAACTAAAACTTCAAGTTATTATTAAGTTATAATAAATATTACAATAAGCAATAATTAAAATTATAATAATTGTAGCGAGCAAATGATACACCTCTTTATTGGGAGCTTGTATTGTTGAATTTGCAAGGGCAATATGATATCCAGCTACAGTATCTAGCCAAGTGCATTGGCTCTACCAAACCTTCTCATCTATGTCTGGTACTCTTTATGTCTGTCTATATCTTACACGGTGTGCTTCATCTTTAAGCTTTTACAAAATTTGAAGAATTTTTTTTTTTAAGAAATTAAGGGTTGGGTTTTGTTCTTGCAAATAGTTTGACAGATTTTTACTTTTTGTTTTTTTTGGAGATAAGTCTCTGGTGCTTTGTTTTCTTCAGATGAGTTTTTGGCGCATGTTTCAAAATTCTGTTCAATTTATGTCTTTTATATGTTTGACAAAATGTCAAAACCAAACATCATATACATGATTGCCCTACACTCAAAGATAATAGAGGGGTGTTACTTTGTAACCCAATTTGTGAAAGTAATGATACAATATTATTTATTGGGGGCTTTCCATTTCCTGAAAAGATGATGTGCTCTATGATGATAGGTGATTCTTACAATCATTGAGAAAGAATAGACACTTCTTAATTTTGGGGCTGATCCGAACTTGCCAACAGAAGATGTCTCCTATGAGGTAGGAACATCTGGGAATAGAGGAATACTTTCTAGTCCTGCATATCATTGCAAGAAATGCCGGAGAGTTGTTGCATTGCAAGAGAATAGTGTGGATCATGTTCCAGGAGAATCACAAACATCCTTTGGGTGGCATAAGAAGAAAGCCGCAACCCTTTCAACAACTGTGATGAGATTGAGTGCTCATCCATCTTTTGTTGAGGCTCTACGTTGGATGACAACAGGTACAAAACTTTAGACCATTCCCTTCTGTTTTGTCTAGAATAAAGATGAATAAATAGACAAATTATGACAAGTGGCCAAAGATTTGGAGTCTTTGGGCCCACATTTGATGGGTATAATCACGTTGATCAGTGGTGCAGCTTGTGAATGATGGTGCTTATGTTTTTGCTAATAGAACATCATTCTTTTTATCCTACTTTCATTATCAATGCTATTCATAGTTGTTCAAATGAGAGCCCCATTTTAGGTTCATCCATTGCTGCAGCACAAAGTCCCTATCTTTTAATTGGTAATTTTTGTGTCATCTCTATACTATAAATTGCATGCACATGATTTTAAGTTTTAGCTTTTGATTCTTGTTACCCCTTGGCACTAGTTGAAGATGGTGCATTAGAGGGGAAGCTTTTATATGTCCATAGCGAAGCTCACTTGGATTACTTCAATTATTGGTCAGGCATCCAATGCAGTTGTTGTGGCAGCTAGATCACCCCAGACTTTCAGCTCTATAAAAGCTGAGTTGACATCAGCAGTGTCTGATATTTTTGAGGCAGAAGAGGTGTGCCTATCACTTTGCTAGAAGATAGAAGACAGTAAAAAGGGGGCTTATATGAACCCAACATCTACCTAGTAATAAACCTAAATTGTGGTACCAATAATATGAGAGCACAATTTTTGAGTTAAGGTTTGGATGTTTGAGAACTTGTTTATGTTTGCTTGCATTTTGTATGATGTCTTTGACAATCACCAGCTGGGTAGTGATGTTGTAAGTGCCTGGCCTTCTGTTCATAGTATGTGGTTTAAGTCATATGATTTTTGTATTTTCATATTCAAATTTACAGGCTTCAATACTTTGGATTCATTTTTGTCATCCCGATTGTTTATATGGAATATAGAGTAATTCTTATCATTAAAATTATAAAGAAATGTTAGGAACTTATAAATCAAACACAAAAACAAATCACAAACACTTGGCGACACTGTATTGACTGTGATATGCCGTATCTGGTACGTGAGCACTTATTCATTGGCAACATTGGCGACACTGCAGAGGTTCTTCAAAACGGTAGCAAGGAAATCACTCATATACTGTCAATCCTTAGTTCTGCATCGATATCATTTTTCTCCGAATGGCGTAGTGGTCTATCGATCCCTACTGAAAAGATTTGCAAGGTCTATGCCGGGGACTCAGAGCTTGAGGATGTTTCCAGTGACAGTTCAAAGAGTTCCTTGTCACCAGAAAAGCTTCTGTACTTGTTGGAGTATGCAGGCAACGATTTGAAATTGGTGAGGATGGCGGTACCGCCGCGAGATACTGAGAATGAGAATTTGTTGGATTATTTGGATGTGTGTTTGGATTTCATCGATAAGAGTCGAAAAGAGGGGTCTGTGTTGGTGCATTGCTTTGCCGGTGTATCAAGAAGGTACATTTATGTATTAATTCATTTGTAGATTTTGGTTTTTTTTTGTTGAGGCATGTTGCAAATTTACAGTTGATGCTTTTTTTATATGGAAATTTTGTCTCTTTGTTGTGAATGATTGGGCATGCTTTATTTTGAATGCATTGCCTGTTTCCAACATAATTTGCTCTATAATAGTAGGGTTTTGTCAATGAATGCCCTTAGGGCACTTGATAAGAAGCTTGAAATGCTTGTACATAATGCATGAGAGTGCACGCAACATGTAATGTATAATCAATTTAAACATTGTTAACCAATGCCCTTAGGGCACTTGTTAACCAAACCCATAATAGTATTATGTTCACAGCACAGGAGAAGCCCCTGAAAATCTTATTCCCAAAATTCAGTTCAATCAATTCCTAACCAATCTGAAACCTTGTTACACCAAATTTTAATTTGACTAGCCTTGTTTGATTTCCCTAAACCCTGGTTCTACGTCAATGCATTGGTGCTATATTTTGCATGCACAAAATTATAGCTTTCTCATATTCAGAGGCACTTCCACATCCTAGTCACATATCTTCTTCTGTGCATAAGTGCTTCCAAGGTCCATAGAAACCTCTTTTCTGTCGTCAGTCTTCTGATGAATGTCAAGATACTATTGAAGGCATATATTCTAATACCTTTAGTTTTCTGTTTTATCAAGTTCTAGCATTCTACGCCCTTATGTGTATTCATTGCAGTGCAGCTATTATTACTGCGTATCTGATGAGAACTAAACAACTATCTCAAGAAGGTTTGAGGAAATTAGTATTGTGGTTCTACATATTAGTATTTGCTTGTGGGCTTCCACTTTTTGGCATTTTGAAAATCTGAATGGTGGTGATGAGATTGATAATAACCTCATATTTGTTTTATCATTTGCACATCATTGCAGATGCACTTGAATTTTTACAGAAAAGCTGTGAATTTGTTTGCGCCAATGATGGTTTTCTGGAACAGGTGATGCAAAGCAATTTTTCATGAAATTCTGTTTTATAAGCAGTGTTGCAAAAAGTGCTTCTAAGTTTTCCCTTTCAATGTGTTTAGCTTATCGTGGACTCTACATATTTTCTTCTTGCCCTTGCAGCTAAAAATGTTCGAAGAAATGGGTTTCAAGGTTGATCACACTAGCCCTATATACAAATGCGTCCGTTTGAAAGTATTAGGTCCGAATCTTATTTACTTCTTGTTTCTATTCTTTTTACATTTTTTTATATTTGATTTTTGACTGTTACTTTTGTAGATATATTTGCTTTGCTTTGTTTCTCCTAAAGATTTTTGTGGGTAAACTATGTTAAGTTTTGCTTATTAGTGACTTGCCACGTCAACTAAAGCATTTTATTCCCCTTGTATATTATAAATTTATGTGCACATTTGTAGATAAGTGAATGTTGCACAGTCAAACCAAGAAAGAGAGAAAGAAAAAAGGAAAATGTCTACTTGTACATGTTTAATTAATCTTATATGAACATTTATAATGAGAAGCAAAAGTATATTCTGTTATTGGGCTTTCCGTTTTCTGAAAAGATGTTGTGCCCCATGATGACAGGCGATTCTTATAATCGTGGAGAAAGAATAGACACTTCTAAATTTGGGGCTGATCCTGGCTTGCCAACAGAAGAGGCCTCCTCTGACATAGGTACATCTGGGAATAGCGGAAGAGTTTCTACTGCTGCATATCGTTGCAAGAAATGCAGGAGAGTTGTTGCATTGCAAGAGAATATTGTGGATCATGTTCTAGGAGAGGGGGAGACATCCTTTGGGTGGCATAAGAGGAAAGGCGGCAACCCTTTCAACAAGTGTGATGAGATTGAGTGCTCATCCATCTTTGTTGAACCTCTACGTTGGATGACAACAGGTACAAAACATCAGCCCACTCCCTTCTATTTTGTCTAGAATTTCTGATGTTTAGGCATATTGCTGAATAAAGGTGTAGAAATGGATAAACAAGCTATGAAAAGTGGCCAAAGCTTGGAGTATTTGGGCCCACATTTGATTTTGATGGGTATTTCCAATCGAATAGTTTTGTCGGTTTTTCAATTTAGTGTTAATTAGGGATTCACAAGATGCTTTAAGGGTTTTATGAAACCACATCGGGAATAAATGACAAAGATGGTGCGGATGTTCAAAAATGTCTCCCCTCCTAGCCTTTTATTGCAAAATGTGTAGCATTGGTCATTTATTTCGAAATACTAAAAATATATATATAAATTTTATTTAAATATAATATTTCAGTTGGTATCGGTTTAAAATTTTTCAAAGCTGAAAAGCAGACTGACCTTATGAAAAACAAACCAAAAACCAATATTTTCTTGGACTGTCAGTTCGGTTCCATCTTTTTATTTTATTTTATTTATTTTTTACATCCCTAAAGTTTATGGTTTAATTGGTGAATAGATCATCATTCCATTGATACTACTTTCAAATGTCCAAGCCTAGTTGTCTTTCTTTCATTATCAAGGCTATTCATATTTGCTCCAATGAGCCCCATTCTAGATCATCCACTGCAGCATGAAGCCCCTATCTTTTTATTTGTATTTTTTGTGTCGTCTCTGTACTATAAATTCCATGCACATGATTTGAAATTTTAGTTTTTGATTCTTGTTACCCCCTTGGCACCAGTTGAAGAAGGTGCATTGGAGGGCAAGCTTTTATGTGTACATTGTGAAGCTCGCTTGGATTACTTCAACTGGTCAGGCATCCAATGCAGTTGTGGTAACTGGATCACCCCAGCCTTTCAGCTCCATAAAAGCCGAGTTGACATTAGCACTGTCTGATATTTTTCAACACAGAAGAGGTATGCGTCTAACACCTTGCTTGAAGATAGAAGATGGTAAGAGGGGGCTTATATGTACCCTAACATCTACCTACTAATAATTTTAAATTGTGGTACCAATAATATGAGAGCACAGTAGTTGAATCGAGGGTTGGATGTTTGAGAACTTGTTTATGTTTGCTTGCATTTTGTGTGATGTCTTTGACAATCATCAGCTGGGTAGTGATGTTGTAAGTGGGTGGCCTTCTGTTCATAGTATGTGGTTTTAAGTCATATGATTTTTGTATTTCCATATTCAGATTTATATGCTTCAGCACTTTGGATTCATTTTTGTCATCCCGGTTCTTTATATGGTATATAGAGTATTTCTTATCATTATAGTTATGAAGCATCACTAGCAGTGGCAGAACAAGAAAATTTAGTCAAAAGGGGCAACCATTTACCATAACATTAGATTTTTTTTTATTTTTTATTTTTTGTAATCAACAATGATAAAATGATATAAACTATATAAGTTGATAATAAACACAAAAATATAATTATTTATTATTAAAGTCAGAGAGAACTAAGGCAATTTGTTGTCTATATGTATATGTATAGGTTACATAGATGTGTATATGTTTACAAAATGGGGTCTTCAAAGCAATTTAAGTATTTAAGGGGGAAATGGAGCAGTTCAATTGAAAAAAGCAAAAGAGGGGGCAATTTGAAATTCTTTCCTAATTATGGGTAAAAATAAAAATATTTAAATTTTGAGGGGCGGCTGCTTTTGCCGCTGATTTCACTGGAGAAGCTATGTAATTCTAATAGAATAGACAGAGAGAGTAAAATCATACTTTGTTCTAACAAAAATGTTAGGAACATACAAAACGAAAGAAGAACAAAATCACAAACACTCGCATGATATAACACATTTATAATATTTAAGTTCATGGATTAATACTATAGCGATCCCGGTTTCCCCTTTTCTTTACTTGTTATATCCGGACTTAGGTTCCGCGGAGCTGGTTGTTGAGAGTATGTTGTTTGCACCCTTTAATCCTTATATTGAGTCTTGGGTTATGTTGGGAAGATTTGGAGCAGGTTGGTTGAGCTTAGGAACCAAGTCTAGTTGCCCAGATTTTGGCTTGTCCGCTCGAGCGGGGGTTTGGGCGCTCGAGCGGGGAATACACCCATCCAGTATGTCCTGTGTAGTGTTGGACGCTCGAGCGGGGGGATTGGCCACTCGAGCGGGAGGTTGTGAGTGACGCTCGAGCAGGGAGTTGGGCGCTGGAGCGGGGACCTGTCTGCAAAAACTTCTGGGAGTGTGCATCCGCCGCTCGAGCGGGAGTCTGTGAGTGGCGCTCGAGCGGGGGTTTCCACGCTCGAGCGGGGCGACTGTTATAAAAATCCGAGACCCGACTTTTTGGATCATTTTTCATCTCCCTTTTGATTCTAAAACCCTAGAACCGTCTTCTCACTCTCCCTACACACCTTCTCACTTAGGTTTGATCTACTTAGAGTGTATTTCTACCCTAAGTCCTTTGTTAAAAAGATAGAGTGGGTCGAGGGCTTCCGTTTAATCTGAACAATCTTGGGTTTGGAGCACTTTGGTTTTTCGTCATCTTCTCCATTCGAGTTCTTCGCTTCGAGGTAGGGATTTCCTATTCCATATTATAGGTTTTGTTCTAAGTTTTGGTATTTTGATATGTTGGGAGTACTTTGGTAATTTTGGGAAAAACCCTAGTTGTATTAATAAATTAATTTGTATAATTAATTTAAGGAAATTGGGAATGTATTAAATAATTAAGAAATTG